TATCCTCAGGTGAGGGCTAAAAGAAAATTATTAAAAATATACATAAGTTCCAAAGTTGGTTTTGCACTGTTATATACCACTGATCACATATTTTCTTTTTGTTGTTGTTCATATATTGTTCTTTATTTGAATTGTCTGTGTTACAAAACAAGCTAGGCTTTGTAGGTCTCTAGTTGCTGCAAGCTGTTGGAAACAAACCAGTTTGGTGGTGTGGTCCAACTGTGCATACAGTGCTGATGACTGACTGGTAGATGGCATCTCAGAGACCCACCCCCTTCACCCCTCACATCAGTCCTTTGGGATCCTCTGCTTCAATACTATATGGTCATTAATTCAGTGTCGGAGCATCTTCTTTCCTCAGTTTGGCATTGTAGCCCTTTGGCCACTGTATTACATTGGTTGATAAACTCACCCCAAAGTCTTTTTTTTTAATCCTCACTTGAGGATATTTTTTCCATTGCTTTTCAGAGAGAGTGGAAGGAAGAGAGAGAGAGAGAGGGAGATGGAGGGAGAGAGAGGGAGAGAAAGAGAAACATCGACGTGAGAGAGACACACACACATCTATTGGTTGCCTCCTGCATGTGCCCTGACCGGGGCCAGGGATCGAGCCTGCAACTGAGGTATGTGCCCTTGGCCAGAATCAAACCCAGGACCCTTCAGTCTGCAGGCTAACACTCTAACCACTGAGCCAAACTGGCTAGGGCCCAATTTAGAATTCTTGAGATGGTCAGGCTGGTAACTGGTCTCTCAAAACATTTAAATTATCTGTCTATTCTCCAGGTTGGATTGACTCTGAGTGTGTTCTTGATGTCTTTCCTGCTCAATAAGAGGAAGAAAGGAGGTGGTATAAGTAAATGTTTGGTCATTTATTGAATAGAAATAGACCTTTGTTAGTGCTATTTAATTCTACGTGGGACAATTAAGTTCCTTGGGTTCTGACAGCATTGCCAGTATGTGCTTTGAAACTTACCTGGCACAGATATGATGGATCTGCTCAGGTCCTTCTTTGAACCCCTTTTCCCTCATTTTCATCAATCAGAGATTCTTACTGAGTCTATACTATATGCTAGGCACTTTGCACTAGATAACATGTGAGGTGTGGTAAGTAATGAGATTGGAAAAGCAAGCAGTAGAAGATCACACTTCATCCTAAGAGCGATGGAGAGCCTTTGAATGGTTTTAAGCAGGAGGTGGCATAACCAGAATTCCATTTTAGGAAAATCACTGTGGTTGCAGTGCGGAGAATAGAGAGAGTAAGATTGAAGTCAGGGAGGCCAGACAGAATGTTTTTATGGTAATTGAGGGGGAAAAGGAGAAATATGCTCTGGACTAGGAAAGTGATAGTAGTGATAAACAGGAAAAAACTTCAGTGGTTAGAGCGTCAGCCCGTGCACCAAAGGGTCTCCGGTTTGATTCCTGGTCAAGGGCACATACCTGGTTGCAGTTTTAATCCCTGGCCCTGGTCAGGGTGTGTGAAGGAGGCAACTAATTGAAGTTTCTCGCTCTCTCCTCCTCTCCCTCCCGCCTACTCTCTCTAAAAATCAATGGGAAAAATATCCTTGGGTGAGGATTAACAAAACAAAAAAAAGAAAGAAAGCAGCTCTTTCACCATGTGAGGACACAGCAAGAACATGCTGGCTGTGAACCACGAAGAGGGCTCTCTCTAGAATGCAACCATGCTGGTGTCTTGATCTTGGCCTTCTCAGCCTCCAGAACTGTGAGAAATACTTGTAAGCCACCCAGTACATTGTACTTTATTATAGCAGGCTGAGTGGACTCAGACAGAAACTGGTACTAAGAAGTGGAGTGCTGCTTTAACAAATGTCTAAAAATGTGGGAGTGGCTTTGGAACTGGATAATGGGTAGAAGCTGGAAAATTTCTGAATTTCATGCTAGAAGAAGTCTACATTGCCATGAATGGACAGTTAAGGGCGGTTCTGGTGAGAGCTCAGAAAGAAAATAGGGGAGCTATAGAGAAAGCCTTAATCTTAGAGAATACCCAAGTCATTCTGAACAGAATGTTGATGGAAATATTTGGACATAAAGGCCAATTATGATGAGACCTCAGGTGGAAATGAGGAACATAACTGGAAACTGGAAAAAAAGACCCAGAGTTCCCATTACAGGAGAAACCCAGAGAGAGGTTGGAGGAACTTCATCAAGATGAAAAGAAGTTAATTCCTGCCAGGCCGGCATGGCTCAGTGGTTGAGCATCGACCTATAATCCAGGAGACTGCGGTTTGATTCCCAGTTATGGGCTGCAGGCTTGATCCCCAGTAGGGGGTGTGCAGGAGGCAGGTGATTGATGACTCTCTCATCATTGATGTTTCTATTTCTCTCTCTCCCTCTCCCTTCCTCTCTCTGAAATCAATAAAGACATATTTTAAAAAAGAAAGAAGCTAATTCCTATTGGAATAAAACATTGTAAAAAGTTCCTAAAGGTATCTTTTCCTCAAAACCTTGACATTTATTATTCTCATAGTTCAAATGATTCTTTCAGTGATTTCTAGATTATTTGAACCACCTTCTAATACTACAGGGACTTTACTTCGTAAGTTAAAATTGGCTAAACCATATCTTCATTCTATCCCTACTTAAAAACACTTTCTCTTTAAGTTTGTGGTGCCTTGTTTGCAACTCATCATTTTGACTTCCTGTGACTCCTCTAGAATATTGCTCACAGTTTTTATTATTGAGCTGACATCCCTTCCTCTTTTAAAGCATAATAAATTAAAATTGCTAATAAAATAATAAAATAATAATAAACAGTAGAGAAGTGAGAAGGTCTTGGGATTGGAAGTGGAGGGAAACAGAGAGCTAAGCCAACACTGGGTAACTTGCAGATGGTAGGGCCACTCACTGAAATAAAAAACACCAGAGGTTTCATCGAGGAATAGGATTATAATAAATGCTAAACTTTTTTTTATTAATTGATTTTAGAGAGAGAGAGGAAGGTGGGGGGTTGGAGATAGTGAAACATCAATCAGCTGTTCCCCTTATTTGTGCATTCATTGATTGTAAATGCTAAACTCTTAAAAAACTATAACCCGAGAGGAAGAGCAGGTTTGGGAGATGATATACTCACTTTCAAACATGCTGACATTGAAATGCCTGGGACATCCAAGTGGAAATGTCTATCCAAGAGGTGAGAGCTTCCCAACTGTTGTGCCTCAGGAAGAGGTTACAGATGTGTTGCATATTGATCTTCTCAACTCTGAGGGCAGCATAGGCTCCCTCTGACAGTAGTCTCAGTTATGCTGGGCTGCTATGATGTGGAAGGGTTGGGAAGCACTGATGTATAATGCTGTTGGATAAATAATTCTGCAGCTCAGGGGAGATCTGGACTACAGGTAAGAGGTTTGTGGGTCATCAGAACATAGGTGGTAACTGAAGCCATGGAGTAGAGGAGATCATGCAAAGAGAGAAGAGGGATTGGAACAGAACCCCAAGGAACAGCAACATTGGAGAGGGGTCTCCACAGACAGAGGAAGAAAACTGTCTGAGTGTTGCCACCAGAGCCCAAGAGATTAAAAAAGAAGAAAAGAAAAAAGAATCAAATAGTTCCCTGATATTGCTGATGTCAAGCTGGATCAGGACTGAGATGTACCCACTGACTTCAGCCACATGTCACTGGTTATTAGCAAAACCAGATTTTGAAGGGTTGAGAAAGATATATAAGGAATGGACACAAGAAGTATTTAAAAGTCTTTCAATAATTTAGGCTATGCTGTGAGGTAAAGGTTAGACAGGTAGGTAGGGTAATGGGAGGGGGAGTGAGAATTATTTTAGAAAGATACTGCTTAACTTAAAAAATTATTTTAAATGTTACTTTTAAAAAGCATTGTGTGCATAAGGCTAAAAAATATCAAATAATACAGAAGCACTTATTTGCTTCATTTCCCACTCCCAGCAATGAGCCACTTTTTAACCTTTTGGCTGATGTTTTGATATGACTAAATATGCTTATCTGCTATTCTTTGATTTTTTTGCTTTCAAATTTACTTTATCATCTATGGGTATATTCTTTTTAATAGGTACAAAAGTGGTATCTTACCACTCACACTGTTCTGCACCTTACTTCTTGCTCTTGAAATATCTTGGAGACCTTTCTATATTAGCATATATAGGTCTATTTTGTTCTTTTAAATGATTGCATAGTAATCCATTAATGGTTGTACCATACTTTTTGTTTCCTACTGATGGGCGTTTAGGTTGCTTCTAGCTTTTCATTTTTGTCCACTGACTGTAATGGATAATGTTGTATACACATCCTTGCATACTTATGTGAGTATATTCACAAGACAAATTCCTAGCAATGGGATTCCTGGGTATGCAGTACACATTTTGATAAATATTGACAAATTACCTTCCAAAATGGTCATCCTAATTTACATTCCCACTAACAGGACACTAGAATACCTATTTCCCCCACATTCTTTCTGTGACTTTATTAGATTTTTTTCATTGCCTTACGTGGTCAAATTTATTGATATTTTGGGTTCTTTGTTATGCTTAGAAAGTACTCCAATTTTTAAAAATTACCTTTTTTCTCTAGTATGTTTATGGTTTTCTTTTTACTTTTAAATATTCCATCCAGGATCTACTTAAATGTCCAAGACCACTAGTATTTCTCATGTCTGCCCAGAATGACATCTCCATTCTAGACCACTCAGTCCTATTTTTCAAGTACAAAACACCCGTTCCTGTGTACCCTTGCCAAGAGGGTCCTTTCTCCAGGCAACAGGGCATGCTGCTTCCCCTCTTCTCTGTCACGCAACAAGCTATATTCCTTTCAGGGACAGCTCAAATCTCATATCCTTCAGAAAGTCTTCCATGCTTATTGTAGCCCACAGAAAATTCTCCTTCTCTGAAGCTCACATGATCATATGCTATCTTGGATGAGCCTCTTCCTTTCTCCACAACATTAATATATTTGCTGAATCAAATCTAACCTTTGGAAGTCTAGGCTTGATTAATCTATTTTTCCCTACCCCCTCAGCAGCTAAAAGCATGCTGGGTATAAAGAAGGAATCTGATAAAATACTTATTATTTTTAATATCTCTATTGATTTCAGAGAGAGGAAGGGAGAGGGAGACAGAAGCATCATAATGAGTCATTGATCAGCTGCCTCCTGCATGCCCCCTACTGGGTGATTGAGCTCCCAACCTGGGCATGTGCCCTGACTGGGGATCGAACCTTGATCTCCTGGATCATAGATCAATGCTCAACTGCTGAGCCATGTCAGCTGGGCACTACTCATTAAATCTTAATCATTCTATATGAATTACTTCCAGATTTTTATATTCAGTTTTGATCTTGTAAACCATAAATAATTAAGGCCTTGAAGACCAGCACTGTCCAACAAAACTTTCTGCAACAATGGGAATGTTCTATATTTGTGCTAATAGGGTAATCACTAGTCACATGTGGCTACTGAACACCTGAAATGTGGCTACTTGACTGAGGAACTGAATTTTAAATTTTATTTCATTGTACTTAAATAGCAAGCACCTACTGTATTAAACAACATAGGTTTAGGCACTGAAAAAGGACAAGACTCTAGGTCACTGAAGGTTTTTAAGAGAAAGAGAACACTAGCAGCAGGACAGAGAATGGATTTGAAGGTAGATGACAGGAACCCATGCTAGGTGCCAGCCACCTGGATGCAATAAATGGGACTTACATTATTGGCAGAATTTGTTGCACTTTGTGACTATTTCAATGTGGGGAGTATTAAGCGAAGATAGTCAACTGAGGTTTGTAGCTTGAGCAATGGGAGGATGTCACCATTGAGATATGAGTAGGTTTAGAATGAGGGTAATGAGTTTATATCTGGGATGTTGAATTTGCAATGTCTAATATCTGAGGGATATGACTACAAAACAGGACATTCATCTGGAACTGTGGAGGTGGGGCTACCAATATATTTAGGGGATATTAGTATATAGGTGGTTGTTAAAGGCATGGGAGTGGAGGAACTCGCCCCAGGAAAAACATGTAGAAGAGGACTGAATGAAACCCTAAGTGTGGTCTATGTCTGCTTACATCAGAATCATCTGGGATGCTTACTAAAATATATATATATATATATTCCTCATTGTGAATATATTTAATGCCATGGAATTGTGCACTTAAGTATGGTTGAAATGAGCCCTGGCAGGTGTGGCTTAGTTGACTGGGCACCACCCTGCACACCGAGAGGTTGCTGGTTTGACTGCCAGTCAGGGCACATGCCTGGGTTCCCAGAGGGGGTGTACAGGTGGCAGCCAATTGATGTTCTGCTCTCACATCAATGTTTGTCTCTCTTTCTCTCTTTCATCCTAAAAATCAATTAATATATAATTGATATATTACATATAATATGTATAATCTAAAATATATAAAAATATATATATAAAGGTTAAAATGTTATGTATATTGTACCACAATAAAATACAAAAAAACAAACATTCCTAAGTCCCATCACTGTTTTTGGAGATGAATCCAGGACTTACCAGGTAACTTATGCAAATTAAAAGTTGAACTAATGCTTATGGGGTAGTGAGAAACTAAGAGCTAGGAAGAGAATAAAGGGAAGAAAGTATGGTGGAGAAACCAAGGGAGAGCAAAAGGTTCAAGAAGGGTCAATAGTGTTGACTGGTGCCACTGCCCAGGAGGAAGATTGAAAAGAGGCACAGATTTGGTATTCAGGAGGTTACTAATGAATGGGAAGTTGGGGAGCAGAGGCTGTGGGGTCTACTGTTTCAAAGAATTTGCTCACATTTGGCGGTGGAGATATGGAAAGACTGCATAAGCTTGAGGAAAAGATAGGACACAGGAAAAATCGGTGGTTTTGAAGATGAGAGAGAATTGAACATGCTGGTAGGTGCACAGGAAGGAGTTTATGAAGCCAAGGAGACACCAAAGGGATCCTCCATAAAGCAAAATTTGGGAGAAGTAGTAGAGGCTGGGATCAAGAACTTAGGAAGAGATTACTTGGTGATCACTGGGTAGGTTTAGAAGTGAAAAGGAGGCAAGATGAAGTTCAAGACTGAGGGCAAGAAAAGACTTCCTGTCAACAGCAAATAAGAATGACATTAGTTGGTAGTTAAGATACTTGCTTAGATTAATGGAGCAGGGCAGAGTCAAGAGCCGGTAGAAGGGTAGAAGTGTAAAAGTCTGAGTCGCTAGCATAAAAGTGATCAGGAGCAGCAATATAAAGACTGAAAAATAGTACTGGAATCTAATTGAGATTTGAAATGGCAACAACCAACACAACCAGCACAAAATAGAAAAATTGTTTTTTCTAAATGGTTTTAGTCCCACCCTCTTTTGTGCAGGGCAGCAGTGGTTTCTGCTCTCCCATGCATACAGTTCAAATTCCTTAGCAGGAGCTTTAATGTAACTTCTCCGTTAAGAGGTGCAACATGAAATTGATGGTCCAGACTCTTGTTCCCTGCTCCTTCTTCTATAACTTAAATTCAGAAAATAATAGGATCTTAGGGATTTTGAAGCTCATCAACTCAATCTCCCTTCTTACCTAGGTATGTTTTGTTTTTCCATCTTCTCTTCACCAAACATCTTTCTCCATCTTCCACTTTCCCTTGGATTCAACTGATTGGTGTTTTAAAAATCAAAACCTGCCCAGCCGGGCGTGGCTCAGAGGTTGAGCGTCAACCTAGGATCCAGGTGATCAGGGTTCGATTTCCGGTCAGGGCACATGCCCGGGTTGCGAGCTCGATCCCCAGCTGGGGGCGTGCAGGAGGCAACAAATCAATGACTCTCATCATTGATGTTTCTATCTCTCTCTCTCCCTCTCTTTTCCTCTGTAATCGATATATTAAAAAAAAAAAAAAATCAAAACCTAACAGGCATCAGCAACACACATCACTCATCCCACAGCACTCATCCAATTATAGACTACGTTTTATGTATGCTTCTCCACATACATTCCCACCCCATACTAGTGTGTGTCTCCCATCTCCATACTGGTGAGCTTTGGCAGAGGATGCTGAACAAAAAGTCCTGAATTAATTTATTCACTGGCTTGTTTTCTGTTCTGAGCTTAGGTGAGGTTTTTTTCTTGAGCTGAAGCCTTCCTGGATAGAGTGGGTAAAAGCAGAAGTTTCTTATCTACCCCAGATTCACAGGGCATTCTCAACCATACTCGTCACTTTTATTATATACAATTATATACATTATATATAATCCCACTTCATTCATTTCATTTATACCAGTTGGATTTTGGGTCCATAATTTAGATCTTTTATTTATATATTTATTATTGAATTTATTGGGGTGACATTGGTTAATTATTTAGGTTTCAGGTGTACAATTCTGTAATACATCATCTACATATTGTATGTTCACCACCCAAAGTCAAGTCTCCTTCTGTTTACTCCCCCACCCCCCCAATAATTTAAATCTTTTAAATGTCAGCCAATGCATCTTGCCTAGTATCTGTAACTGCTGTGCTGAGCCTGGTCATGTTAGAGACTTGATTTGCCCTGGAAAGATAAGATGTTTTTCCTACCAACCCTCACCTTCAGCCAGGCCAGTGATTCTTTTTTCAGACAGTATAGTGAGGTTTTGCCCAAAGGCATGATGAATTAAATCCTGAAGAAGCCAGATCAGATTCAAGGGGCCCAGGGAAATGACACATCCTAAGGCTAGCCTGGTCTTTTCTAAATAACCACCAAAAGCAGCTCCTTCCATATCCCAGAAACAGGATCACTTTCTCTAGGCCATCTCAATCCAGACAGCTCAGGTCATTGCTCCACAGATGCATTCTCCTTCAGGATCATCCCAAACAATGGGGAACAGATATTGGTTTTTTTTTCAGTTGCATCTGGGACATTTTGCCAAAAGCTTCTGCCAGGTTTTGAAGTGGACTGTTAAGGAATTAAGGAGAATGAACTTAATTCTAAGAGAACCCTTTCAATATCTCTTTCCTGGTCTTCTCCCCCTCTCATCTCACTATCTCCCGAATCTTAACTTGTTCCTTTCTTTTCCTTCTATCAGTGATTCAGGGATTGGATGAGTCTCTGTGGTTTGTTTTGCCCTGAAGAGCAGAAGGCTACGGTCCCAGCTGGTGTTACCAAAGCAGCATACTAATTCCATGCCATGGTCCTGGGTCAAGATCTGCACAATCTGATTGGCCATATCACCTCGGATGGCAAGGGAGTGGAAGTGGTCAAAATCATGGAGGCCCAGTTTTCGAAGACGCCTTGCAGCTGCCCGGTAACATTTCCAGGGCTGTGGCTCCACAAGGAGGTAGTGGCAGAGGGAGGAGAGGTGAGCCAGGAACTCCCACAGGCCCTGGTCCCCATGGTTCAGATGAATCCACATGGTTATTGACATGCAGAAGCCAATGTCAAAAACTGAGCGTCCGAATTGGCTTAAGAAAGAGCTCAAGAGAACTTTCCGGCTCCTTTGATTCATGAAGTCCAGGGTAATAAAAGTCAAGGCATCAGGAAATGGGCATTCTTTTTCAGCTCGCTCCACCAGGACTGGATCTATGTCACAGCAGAGGAGACGGAGTTCTCTTGAGGCATCTGAGTAGGTCTCCCCATCACGTAGGAAAAGGAAGTGTTTGTACAGAGCCACACTTAGATCCTAGAGGAATCCAAAAGAGCTTTGTCACTGCAGCTTTCAACCAGTGAATAGAAGAGAAGCTTATCTCTTATCCTCTTTTTAAAAATTTGTTTACAGTATTACAGATGTCTATCCCCTTATCTTTTTTATTTTATCTTTATTTTTTCTCCATCACCATTTATCCCCCGTATACATACCTTCTTCCACCTCCACCTCTCCAACCCCTACAATCACCATACTTGTCCGTGTCCAAGAGTTTTTTGTTTGTTTGTTTGTTTTTAATATATCCTTATTGATTTCAGAGAGAGGAAGGGAGAGGGAGAGAGAGATAGAAACATCAATGATGAGAGAGTCATTAATCGGCTGCCTCCTGCAAGCCCCACACTGGGGATCGAGCCTGCAACCCGGGCATGTGCCCTGACCAGGAATCGAACAGCGATCTCCTGGATCCTAGGTCAATGCTCAACTGCTGAACCACACCTTGCCAGGCCGAAAGTTCTTTCTTATTTTTATTTTAGCCTCTTATCTTACACTGCCACTTACTCCTGGCTTTAGAGGATGTGAGACTCCAAAACTATAACCTAAGGAAGGTGGACAGTTTTCCACAAAGCAGGCTCTCAGCGCCCTCCAGGGGTAACAGGCTGTAATGAAACATTTCTAGCTTTGCTCTCCTGATTCTGATGGCAGATTGGGTTGTATGGTTGAAAGTTACAGCCCAAGAGATGCAGGAAAGGAACTAGAACAGTATTTTCCAGCTTAATATGCTGGTAAACTCGCTATCTTTTTGTTTTTTTCTTTGGGTATCTCAGGCTCCAGTAAGGAGGGAAGGGTTCCAGGGGCATCACCAGTGTTCTTACCAGGAAGGTGAGGAATAGAGCAAGCACCATCTTATAAAAACCTGCTTCTCAGACAGGTGGTTATGAAAATACATTCCAAAAAGTCCTCACCCAGCCTTCATTCTACAGCTTCAATTTTACTACCTATCCTATGCCTCACCACCCCCTCTGAGACTTATTCTGCTTCTGCACCCATCACTCCCAAGTCACTGCTGACCTCCTTCTTCAATGATCTGATTCTCACCATCTTAGCACTTTTTGACTATTAAGTCACTATCTCTTTCTCTAACTTTGACTTCTGTAACCACTATTACTAACTCAAACTTGTGTTCTTCTATACATCTTTCCCAAGGCATTGTCCTATTCACTACTTCATTTGCTCTTTTCAACAATCCTGTGAGGAAATATTTATGCCTTTTGTGCAGGTGAAGAAATGTGGCTGGAAACAACCCAGATGTTCTATAATAGTGGCATGGATAAATAAATGTGATGTAGTAATTAAGATGGAGTACTAAATAGCAGCTAAAAATGAAGGAATTCAGCGAAGTGCAGCAGTATGAATGACTTTCACAAATTTATAATGCTGAGTAAAAGAGCAAGACATAAAAGAAAATATATAAGCTTCCATTTATATGAAGTTCAAAAATGGATAAAATTAAACTTCATTGTTTAGGGATATCAAAATAGTGAGCTATAAAGAAACAATAATAAAAGTCAGGCTAGTTCTTACTTCTTGGTGGAGGGGGCGCGGTTTATGAACAGGAAAAGGCATATAGGGGACTTGTGGGCTACTGAAAATGTTTTATTCCTGATCTAGAAAGTAGTCATAAAATCATCTGCTTTATAATAATTCATAAGTGTAGATTTATGTTTTATGCACTTTTCGCTATGTGTGGTATAGTTCACCAAAACAACTGTATTTTAAAAACTATGGCTTAGAGGCTAGAGACTACTTGTCCAATGTCACATGGTTAGTACACAGCAAGAGTTAGGCTACGTTCAGTTCTTTCTTCTACACCAGGCTACTCACTCTTCAATGGGCATACATATCACCTAGAGATCTTGTTAAAATAAAGGCTGATTTAGCAAACTGGGGTGGGGGCTGAGATTATTTCTAATAAGCTTCCAAGTCATGCCAATGCTGTAGATCGAGGACCACACTTTGAGTAGGAAGGTTGTACACTATGCCGCTTAATTTCCTTACTATCTATTTACTTCTTTGCTGTCTCCCTCCTCCTATCTGATCTTGGGTGTGCCCCATGTTTGACCAGCCATTTTGTCACACCAGTCCCTCCTCCACCACATCTCTTCATCCTCTCCATCCTCAATTCCTCAGCCCTAGAGTCCCTTGGAAGTTTAAAAAAGAAAATACAGACTCAGGGCTTAATATCCCAAGATCCTAATTCAGTAGGTCTAGAATGGGGCCTAGGAATTTTTAAAATTTAAACAAAGCACCCCATAAATTATGGCACATCTGTACAATAAAATATTATGAAGCTACTTAAAAGAATGATGTGACATAAATGACCTTCAAATTATTAAATGAAAAGCCAGGTGCAATACAATATACAGATGATGTATTATAGAACTGTACACCTGAATCCTATAAAACCTGATTAACCAATGTCACCCCAATAAATTCAATAAAAAAGCAAAAAAAGCAAGGTGCAAAATAGTGTCTACTATTTGTAAAACTAAAAGAGGGAAGATATTTATACATACATAAATGCTTGTATACACATAGTATGCATACCCAAGAAATTATAAATAGTAGTTGCCACTGTGCAGAGAGGAAAAGGATGATTTAGGGTGAGTAAAGACTTGCTCCCTAAATGTACAACCAGGTTGGGAACTACTGCCCTTGTTAACTGCCTCTACTGTGTATATATACACCCCTGCCAACTTTAAAATCTGTGGTTTCCTAAGCCTTAAACCTAGTCTCTTTTCCATTGCTTTCCCCATCTGACTTCCTACATCATTATAGTGCAGAAATGTTTGCAGGGGGCTCCCTGACACCCACCCATTTGCTCATTCTACCTTTGAGTCTATATTCAAGTGCCCCCTCCCCTTTATCAGCTGTGTCTCTATAGCCTTCAACCCTCCACCAAAATCTCTTCTGAGGATGCCCAGCAACACAATAAAATTCTCCCCACCCTCTCCTGCTCCTGGAGGTAGAACAAGGGCATTAACTTTTGAAGCATTTGGTGTCAGAGAGACATTTCGCTATTTTGCATGTGGTTTAACTATAACCATTATACTTTTCGATAATAAAACGTGGCAATGCCTTCCTCCAGTAGGATGCTGTGTTTCTGCTTCTCAATCCTCTATAGCGTACTCAGTAAACTCATTGCTGAAATATCAACCTGACTCCTGGGCCCGTCCTGCACCGAATGGCACACGAATCTTAATTCCAGGCACGATTCTGTTCCCTGGCTCATCTCTTCCAGTAAACCAATCCCAACCCCACGCCT